AAGGCAAAAAACACAAGCACCAAGTATCGTGAGGGCCGCATCTTGAAATGCTTCCCATAAAACTAAAAAAAAACCCGAGTTGGACTGTCAATGAATTTATTAATTCCATATATCTATTACTTCGATTCAAGAGAGGCTTAGAGAAATTGATTTTGCACTAGGATTTGAATTTGACACTTGAATGGAATCTTGAATGAGAGAAAATACAATCTAATTCTCGAGTAAAACTTGGAATGAAATTTGAGTAGTGATCAGTGGTTTTTACACGTGATTTTACCGTTTATTTCAGTTAATCATTTGTTTCGTCTTGTCGCATTTTAGTTGTTTTTATTACATTTTACGCGTCGATTTGGTATTTTCACTGTTTTTAGGTTCAGGTAAACAATAAAGGAGAAGCAGAGCAAAAATCGGGGGGAAATGGAAATATTTCGGAAGAGTTTTGTTATGAACCAGCAGCCTGACACGGGTGCTCGTGTCCTGTGACACTGCCCGTGTCAGGGCTACTGAAAGTAAAATCTTTAGCAGTCTGCACGAAAACGATCATAACTGGAGTTCCGGGAATCCGTTTGAGGCGTTCTAAAAATCGCCGGAAAGCTAAGAGAGAGAGCTACGACTTTCGTGTTGGAGTCGAAGTCAGATTTGCAAGAGGGGCCTGACACGGGTGCCCGTGTCAGGATGTGCTCAGAAGAGGTGATTTTTGGTGGAAAACAGTGGCCTGACACGGCCGCCCGTGTCACGTGACACGGCCCGTGTTAAGACACCTGGCACTTGGAAATTTCACGCGAAAAATGTGTCAGGAAGCCAACACGGTCGCCCGTGTTGTCTGACACGGCCCGTGTTGGTTGAAACGCCTCATCACCTATTTTTCTTGTATTTTTGACACTTGTGATCCCTAAGGGTATTTTTGACATTTCCCTGGTATTGAGTTTGAATGGAGACTATTTGATACGTGTTTTGAATAAGGAGAAGGGACTTTTGAACAGAAAAAAGAAATTTCACGATAAGGATTAGAGCGATCAAGGATTTGGGAACGAAAGATCCTCATGAGCGGAAGCGATTGAAGATCAAAGCAACCAATTCTCTTGTAATGTTGAATTTTATTGTTGAGTTTATTTTTATTATTATGAGTAGCTAAACCCCCAATGCTAGGGGGTGTCCCTAAATTGACTCTGTAATAACCTTTGGTTTCTTCACTGCTTTCTAATCATCGTTGTTATCGTATAATGTTTTATGGCTTTTCTTATTTGACAAATAGGAATATGATTTATGATTAAACTTAGGTTTGGAAGAACAAGTGTTAACGCGTGTATACGATAATACTATAGTAGATATTACCTAGGAATAGGGATACCCTATAGTAACCGTAATGTTTTAGATAAAATATATTGCTTGGTATTGTTCCTATACCGCCAAGGAATTGGGGCATAGGGAGAATACCAAAGGGTTTTCTGCTAAGGAATTAGAGTCAACTAATCTTTAAAACTGGTAACGATTGAATTGAGCTGTGATTTCAGAAAATTAAGGATAAGGTTTTTTCATACACCCTACCCTAGCATGCTTCTCATAACCGTTTAAAACCTTTATTTTACTGCTTTTGCCTTTTGGCTTGATAATTCTAAAGAAACAAACCAAAACCCCTATGACTTTTTGTTCAATTGCATTATTATAGCACTTGTGTTCATACGCAGTCCGCGAGATCGATATTCGGGGAATTTTCCCTTATTACTACATCGGTACAATTAGTACACTTGTTAATTTATCGGTCAAGTTTTTGGCGCCGTTGTCGGGGACTGCCAGAATATAAGTTGTATTCTAATTCAATTGAAATTTTGTTGCTCTGCGACTAAAATTTTGTTTTCAGTTTTTATTTTTTATTTTTATTATTATTATTATTTTGTTACTACTAATCTGCGTCTAACATTTTCATGCGAGGAGACCCCTCAGCTAATTTTTCTTTGGACGCAGAAATTGAAAGGACTCTACGTGAAAGACGTAGGCAAGCTAGATTATTAGCTTCAGAAGAAGAAAGAGTTTCTGTTCATTCAGATTCAGGTTCGGAATCAGAAAGAGACACTGAAGCTATGGCGGATCTCCCACCAGCGGAGAGACTTTTGGGAGACTATGGAGGGGCAAATGCTCAACCAAACCGGATGACCATCGTGAATCAACCGGTGAATGTAGCACACTTTCAGCTACATCCTTCCACCATTCGCCAGTTGGAGAACAAGCCTTTCTCTGGAAGAATCAACGAAGATGCAAACAAGCATCTGCAGAGATTCCTAACAACTGCCACATCTTTGAAGATAGAAGGTCATTCCGAAGAGGCTAAGAGACTTGTGATATTTCCGTTCACACTGATATGGATCGTTTCTTTCTACCGACATAAACATCAATTGTCATTGTTAACTATACAAAAACTGAACAGTTTATATTTACCAGCTAATCTCTCATGGCTCGCAAGTCACATCACACATAACGCTCTTGGTCAAGCCAAATTATTATAAAATTTACATATAAATGTCAAATTAAGATACTCTTAACTAATTTTAACTTTAAAAATTAAAATAAAAGAATTATTATTAAATATGTTAATATTTTATTATAGTTATAACGGTATCGAATACTGCATTTGATTTGTTTTCACTTTAAATGTGTAATTTCTTTTTCTTCTTAACTTGTTGTTTCACCGTTTTTTTCATCTTCTTTTCATGAAATTTTTAAAACATACAATTCACATATGGACACATGATTTACCACTACTCATTAGTTTATTTTTTAATTACATCAAGTTCTCAATTTTTCATCTTTTTAATCAAATAACTTTAACTAGATTATATAAGTTTAATTAAATTATGTGAGACTCTAATAAATCTAACATGTTTATATAAATTATAATATATAAAAAATGTATTAAAAAAAACTAAGTATATTTTTAATCTTTCTAGATAATTTTAATTTTAATTTTAGTCATCTAATTTTTTTCTTAAACTTTAGTCTGTTTAAATTTTATGATCATTTTTAATTTTTGTCTTTTGCAAACGTTCAAATCGCATGTTTTAAGTGACTTTTTTTTTTATCAATTAAAATTTGATTAATTCTAAAAATATTATATTATAATCACAATAGACCCAACCAAGAAACAATCAATCCGACTAAAATCCAAACAAAAGATGGTTAAATAGTTTCATATTTTCATTCTCCCAGCATGTGTTTTATCTGAATCCAACTCAGCACTTTACTCCATACATTTTTAACTCATTGCAACCAAACAGATTATATTGGATCGTTTCTTTCTGCTGACATAAGCAGCAATTGTCATCTTTTTTAGTGGTTGTGTTTGTTGGAGTGTGGGGCATCTTTTTCTCTTCTTGTTGGTTCATCTTTGCCTCGCACTTGTGTCCTCCCTTTTGGCATTTTTCGCAGTATAAAGGCTTCCGTTCGTATTCAACTAGATGTTTCATTCTTCTACCTTCAGTATCCTTGATAGTACTCCCCAAAGATGTAGCGGTAGTTTAAGGCAATTTTACCCAAATCGGTAATGTTCTCAGCATATCTTTCTCCAGGTTGAAATATGGCTTCCATTCTCTCAGCAACATTGGCATATTACATATCGTGTATCGAGCAGCATATGGCTCCCTTTCATTAACACAATGTCCTTGTCTTGCATCGAGCAAAATCTCAATATGAAAAACCTTCATTTTCGTAGAACACATCCGCCAATTGAACAAAGTTTCAAAACTTTTCCATATATTGTTTCATAGTGTTCATACTTAAGTTGCCACCTAACACATACATGATTAAGGATAAGTCTCAGAATTTCACCTCAAATTCTATGTCAGCTTCCTCAATTTTGATTGCAATTTCACCATTAACGACCTTAGGCGCTACAAACTCGATTTTCATCTCGTTGGCAGGGTTTTGATTCCCGCTAATGACATCAACCTATAGATTTTTTTACTCCTACGAACTTTCTAGGGTTTTGTTTTTCTTCAGCTCCTCTTCCTCTATTTCATTTTTCTTCAAATTATTTTCATTTCTGGCACTTGATTCTTCATCTTCATCTGTCTGACGGTCCACTTCAGAGATATTTTTGAGGTTTTCTGATGGTGAAAACACCTTTTGTGACCGCACTCCCCCCTTGTCATCCTCTTATGTGATGACTTTTTTTTTTAGATTATATGTAAAAACTTTAATATATCATTAAACTAAATGTCTAATCTTTTAAAATACTTCAATAACATACTAAAAAAACTTACATCCCAAAAACAATTAAAACAAAAATAAGTAAACAATCCTCTTGGTATTGTTTTTCTTTATTGATTCTAAGTCCTCTTGAATTTTAAATGTATCATATTATAACGCGAGTCTTCAAACTACTATGTATTAAAGACAAACTGAAAATTTATTGTTTTGTAAATTTAAAAATTGTTATGTTTTAAACATAGTTTCATTTTGTTGATTAACTAACATGTGATCTTAAACTAAATGTTAGCAAAATTCTTTCCTAATATATTAATATAATTAAAATATATTCAAATATGTCATTTATCAATAATTCTAATTCTCAAATCAAACAAACTTTAATCTATTAGTATTATCAAAGTGCAGCTATGTTATTCAAACACCATTTTTCACAAAGATTCAGCATCCTAATATATGTCCCTTATTTGTACCTTTTTTGTCATAACTTTTTAAATATAATAATAGAGAGACATGTTTATAATTCAAATATGCATTTATATTATTCATCAGATATCTGAATTTTTTTTAAAGGCAACTCAAGTTTAGTCATTCAAACTCATTGTCACTACAAAAGTTTAACGAGTAAACTTCATTGACTATGTTTGGATTAATTTCTCTCACCACAAAACTTCGTACAAATAATATGATTACACAAAAATCTCAATTTTTTCTCTGCATCGCATAGCATAATGTATATGCATTGTGATTACATTAAAGTGGTTAACACAATGAACAAGACAAAAAACAAATGGTGAAAGCTAATATACATAAGGCAATATTCTCCATGGAACAAGTTTACGGTACTCTAACCATATATCTTTATACTTCTCCGAACATCGAGCTTCGTCTCTTCTCTCTCTCCAGATTAACAGAATGAGAAGATAAATTGGATAGAAGTAAGGAATCGGCGAACTGCAACAATTGGTAAATTAGTTATAAACAGCCAACATTATGTTTTTCTTTTTAAGAAAAATCTTCATAACTTCATAGAATTAAAGAGATTACCTGATGCCACAAGGTAAGCTAAAAGAGAGAGCAAGCAACAAGTCCCCTAGGTAATTACAGTGTCTCGCAACACCCCTTAACAAAATAATGATAGTGATAAGAAATAAATTCAGAGAAACATCAAGATGAATATGAACGTGTTTTAACCATGCCAGGGTTTAAATACGCTAGGTTATAGGTCCCTCGGAACGGCCTATAGCTTAATCCTTTTTCTTTTACCATATAACATGTGAAGATGAAAAGAAAAGAGCAAGAAGAAAAAGCTATCAGGTGAAATAAAATCTTACCAATAACCGGAAACAAGTAACTTGCCTCCAACAACTTTTGGAGGCTTACCCCATATGGGAGCCTTTGGATTCTTCTTGAAGTCATGTTTTTGCTTGTTTGCTCCTCGAAATACCATGTATCTGCATATGTATTTTCAATTACAGTTTATAAGGTTTATTGAAATGATTATCAGATAACTTTAACAATAAAAGTTTTCATAAAATTTCTGTGTCAATCTAACGTCGCTTGCTTAAGGGTTTGTGGTGCATTATAGAATTCACTTTTACAGATTATGGTTAAGTTACCCAATAAGGAAGACAAAGCAATTAGCTACAGCCGCGGCCGTTGTTAACTCCACCTTATTCCTCAAAAGCCACCAACCCTATAACAAAATTGTGATTCAATACATGCAAAATTTTAGATGTAAATAAAGTGAAGCTAACACAAGAGCATTGGAATATCTAGACATCTATGGATTAATTACTAAAAGATCCATTCACATAAAGCTGGTATACCATAGAACTTGAGAAACTTCCTAAAAAGGTATAAATGATGCTAACACAGGAGCTTAAAAACCCTTTAGGAATTTACAAATTCTATTAATAACAAGCTTCAGTATTTTACATTAGAGTAATAGTGGGTTTGATACCATAGATGATGAAAAGAGAAGTAAGCATTAGATGGAGTCACCATTATCACAGTCGTTCCCGCTGAGTCACCTATCTGTGCTGGAACGGCACGGCCTGACACAATTTTGTTGGTTGTGTCGTTCCGTGCCGAGATAACGGCCGGAATGGCCTAGTTTGATATCATTGGAAAAAACTATAAGGATGATACAGAAGAATTGGAGTCTTTTTAATATTTTGATGGTATGGAAAGAAACCAAGATCTAGATTCAAAAGAACTAAGCATTAGAGTGATATTGGATTTGATTCAATTGAGGATGTAGTAGGATGATCAGGAAGGTAGGAGGTATAGAAATGAGAAGGAGTGAGAAAGTAGGTGTGATGGAGGAGTGAATGAAAATAAGGGGTTGTAACTGTATGACATTGCTCAAAACAAGTAACATCTCTTTCACAACTTTATAAAATAAGTTTCCGTTCGAACATCTTTATTTGTCAACCAAGTTTGTAATTATAACAGATACCTGTATGCTAAAAGTAAAAGGAATCCACACTAAATCTCCAAAGACCAACATGAAGCCCAATCTCTCCGCAATTATGTCCCATCTGCAGAAGACAAGAAAAGGATTGAAAAGAGAATTCAATCACGCACTAATCCCCCAATGCATCTATGACATAAAATTAAATCGTATCAGTCTATTGTCATTGGAGTTACTACGGTGGGTGGTTCTTCCCCTAGTGCAGAAAGGTAATAATGCATAGACTGCATCAATAGACTTTTTTACCAAAACTCATCAGGTTTTTTTCTCCATTTGTGCAAGAAATCTAATTTACAACAATATGAATGAATGTTTTTGTTAAAAAACTTAAAATAGAACATGTTACTGATAATGAAATCTAAAGAACGCATCAAACTAATACTCTTCAAGTCATAGGTGTAACTCACTTACGTGGATGTCATATATTCTTCGTGTACAAAGTAGTCCAGGATGTATAGCTGGAACAAATTTGTAGAAATTAAAGAAAATCAGACATGCAAAATTAGAGTTTTTTCAATCAATGAAAGAAAGTATGCAAGTTTTTGAGATTACTGCACAAAATAGCTGGAAGAGAATCATTGACTTGCTCAAAGTACCATCTTGAATGCTCTTGGCAAGAACAGATAGGTTGATAAGTAGCCACCCCATCATTCCAGCTCTAACAAAGAAAAATCTGCAATTTATAATTTCATTAGATGTATAGCAACATATCAGAAACATTGCCTTAGAAAATAAGGACAAGAATATTAACCTTAAATTTGGTCAAATGACACAAAAACAATAACATTAAATGACAGAAATTTTAGAATTAGAACATGGAATTAGAATGTAGAAGAAGGCACATATAATTTTTGGAGAAGTTATTCACATGTTTAGATTCATTTGAAACCTGCTTGGAATATTGCTATAGTTGCACACAATATCAATATGTCTTGACCGTGTTTGCTCTATAACATGAGTACAAGTATTTGGTATAAAAAACTCACTTTCATTCCTTCAAACTCAATCAGTGTTATCTATAGATAATGGCGGAAAGCCAAAAAATCTGTCATTTTAAGCCACCTAAAACACCGTGGTCCTGCCATCCTTCACAAATTGGCTGTGGCAGTTGTCAAAAAATCTGCCACTGCGATTTGCCATTGCGCCACCATGACCAATAATTTACAATACTGACGCAAATACTTGTTTTATCATTTTTATGAAGATCCCTGTTGTATAGCTTAGTGCCATACGATCACAATTAATAAACAGTTTTAAACAAGAAGCAAGGAGCCACGTTGAATAGATCACATACTTGAGGTCAATACCCATGAACTGAGGATTTAGTTGTATTCCAAACCACCTATTAAATAAGATAGAAAACAAAAATCAATAAGATTAACAGTAGAAAAACAATTTCTTCAGGGGATTAAAGTTTATTTGTTGCCATAATTGCAGGGGGCAGTTCATTGTCCCAGGAGACAAAACAACGAAGATGGTATATGCAAAGATGCATAATTTTTCCAAGGGAAGTACTTAGTAACAACACACGAACGCAATTAGACATCATACTTTCCCTGTTTAGTTGGTCCACATAGTACATCGTAGTCTATTATAGCATTCATTACTTATTAGACATGAAATTTCCAACGGATTCATTTAAGTACTATATCAACTGACAACCTATTATTTAAAACAAAAGCATGATAAAGAAAAGATATCAAGTAAATGTTCTCTTTTTTATCAATACAAGGTGCATGTAATCATGTTTAAGCCCAAAAGCATGACCAAAATATTAACTCTTTCACTACTCATGAATACAACCTCTTGAAAACAACAGGATTTTGCAGGGAGCCAAGGACAAGAAAAATGCAAGAATCAGGAAGCTTTTATGCTTTAAATGAAGTGTTAAGCAGGAACATAATGAAGCACATTAGAATTATATAAGAGAGGATAAGGGTCATGAATAACTCATTGCAATGCATTTTATTTATGCTACCTCCCTATAAGTTAAGGAGTTAATAAGAGATATCTAGAGACCCACAAGTTCCAAATATTTGGCCTTTCAACTTTCTCACTAAAGTAGAAATTATTTAAAGTAATCTTAATACTCAGAGCATACCAATCGTCTATCAGGTTTCCACTGATATGAGGTTTTAGCGATGAACCTTTATTCCGTGACTTGCAACCGGAAAAATAGAGTACCAGGGTCGCCTATCATATCATATCCAAGAGATAAGCAGAAGTTACAATCAATGTAACCAGATGAAAAGGCTTTAATAAGACAGACAAGAAAATAAAAATTCAATTTAGAGTGGTTTGAAAAGTATCTACATGGCATTCAAAATCAGCAGTAAGTCGTGAAGAAAGTTCTAATCTGTGGGAGAGATGATAAATAATCAAATTACAACAATACAAATCTCTCTTAAGTGTTTTCAAAGACAAAATAAGCAGATGCAATTAATTTCATGCTCCAAAAGATAATTCTAAGCTTACATACAAGAAAACTGAAGATAAAAGTTGTAGACAGCAGCTCAAGTCCACTATCTGCTATGGCCTGCAAGAATGACCAAATCAGCTTATAAAACGGGGTTAAGTTTTGCAGTGTTATAAATTGCAATCCGCAACTGCATTGGCAGCTGCAACATAGAGGCTTTAAAAGTCTCCCTAACAGCATCACGAGGGCAATTGCAGCCACATCAAGATAGACAGCACAATTGCAATTTATAATCAGTATTGTCTATGGCGAAGTCATAGCGGATTATGGTGGAAAACGCCGCATTAATGGCTGATATTTACCATTTCAATGAGCCCAAAAACAGCCAATGATATCCTCCATAACTATGACGCACAGACAGAGACAGGTAGACACTAACACCAACATGTCGACACTCGTAATAATTTGAAAAATAAATAAATTGAAAGTAATCACAAGTGTAGGTGTTGGACTGAGACACAGACACAATGCGGCATAATACCTTCAATGATATACAAATTAAACAAACACTTACAGTAGGAGATAGAAATTCCATCTTGGCACTGATCCAGAGAAGTCCAACCAAGAGAAGAAGCGAAAGTAAACCTGAAAAAATTCAAACATAGTCAAAGCCCCAAAAATCAACAAGCAGGGTTTATAGATGAGAGAAGTAACGAACCATTGCAGCGATAGTGAAGGCGAGTTGAATCAGAGAGAACAACCCCGGGAACAAGTTTTCCAGGAAGAATAGATCCAACAATGGCCAAGTAAGCGAAGAAACCCGCAAGTAAAGCAACCTAAAAAAATATGAAATTGATGATTGTTTTGGAGAAAAGTACCGAAATGAAGAAACTGATGATGAGTAGTAGGGACTAACGGAGTTGGAAGATGGAATGAGAGCGTGAATTAGGAAACCGAGATCCATATGTGACCCCCGGAGAGTCTCCGGTAAGTGAAGAAGATAGATATTGGCGATTAGCTCTATTAAGTTGGAATCTATGAATTTTCTCTGTAAAACAAAACAATGGCTCTGAGTTAAAACTACTGAACTCAGTTAAGTCCACATTATTGTGATCTTCAAAACAATACAATAATGGAAACAAGTAACTAGTTTTCATAAACAAAGTGAAGGTGGGAATAGCTACACGAGGTTTGATAACCATGTATGGTTTGGCTGGGGAATGGTTATTTGGGCCAGATTACGGCTAGCCCAATTATATTTGGGATTCTTCAATTACTCACACACGGGGCAAAATTTTAAAATGAGAATTTCTTAATCTTCTCCTTGATATTCTTAGACACCTCGTAAAATTCTTTTTATATTTTTTATTTTTGGAGATACACATCCAGACGGACTATTTTTTTCCTTATGTTTTCGGAAACACATCTACGAAAAAAGTTATGTAGATACATCTCCGAAATCTTATCAGAACAGTTTTTTTTAATCAAGTTTCGTTGGTCGCATATGGAAATCAATTGTCGCGGATTAATATAAAATAGCATACATCCGTAAATAAAATAACATATATGAGAAGTAATATGTCATAATCATAAAAGAAAATAGTACATAAATGTCATCAAAATATATACATCAAAAAACACATCACAATCATGATGTGTGTGCCTGACAACATTTGTATCCCCTCCTCTGTTTATACCTCTGCCACCTCGTCTTTCTCTGTCGCCTTCTCGACCGCACGGTCTACGTCCTCGGCCATCGATCTCACCCGTCCTGGCGCAATGCTTGCGATACATAAGTGCCCTCTGTGCCAACTCAATGATCTCATCCAATACACGCTTGTGGTCAGACCCACACTGCCGCCTCATCTCCACTATCTAACGACAGCGAGGCAAGACATCTTGAGTGTGGTCCAACTGAGACTGTTGTTCCTCTAAGATCTTCTGATGAGCTGGTCTGGGGGTGATCCTTTTGCAGTGGGCACCATGTATGGGTGTAAGATGGTAAAGAACCAAATGATGTAGCCATTAACCCAATTCCAGTCTCTTGGCCCTCTGGTCGCTCGAGCCTCGTCTGATACCATGTGCGTCTGGTAGTCAGCAAAGAACTCATCTATTTGCATACAGGTCAAGCCGAGAGGAGCGGAGACAGCTGGGTGTCTGGGTATTGTCTGTGTACCCGAACTGTCGCATGATGCACTTCGACAAATATGGAACAATGATGGTCGAACTACATGCCCACCATCTTGAGAATAGTGATATGTCGTCAAATGGGCGCGTCTCACGGTGATCGGAATAGACGTCGTAGCGGATATCCTCAACAACCAGGCGATCGAGATAGACTCTGTAAGGATCGACCGCTTGGTTCTCCCTGAGCGGGATAAAGGCACTGGCACGCGACATCTGCTCTGTGTAGTCAGGCACACTCCCTCACCCGACAATCATGGGAAAGTGCTGGAATACCCAAGTCTAAAATGAAAATAAAAAACATCAGGATCAAGCATTATCACGAATATAGAATGAAAAGAAATGAAAAAAAAAGTTACCACAAGTAATGACACGCTGCCTGCCACAGTCCTGGTCTTCCACAAGCATCCCTCTCTTAGTCTCCAATACGTATAAGCCAGGATAGCTGCCCCCCAGTTATACTCATGGATCCGTGTAGAATTCAAAAAGTACCTCAGGTAAGCGACATCGGTATATATGGAGGAAGTGTCCAGAAACAGCCATGTGTCGACTAAAAATAGAAAATAACACCTCGGCACACGTTGTCTGTGTATCTTAACCTCAGCTAGATCACCATCTGCCTGGCGTGTAGCAGCGAGCGCCACACGTAATCTACGTGTCAGAAAGGAGAATCGCACATGATCCCCTATAGTGTTATCCACCTCCTCCAATGCATTCACTAAATCAGCCTCAAGCTCATCGATCAACATCTCTCTCGCCCCCTCTTTCGTCATCCTACCGTGACGGAGGAGGGTACCCCTGATCAGTATATGTAACAGACAGGAGATGTTGTTCAGTATAATATTCAGCTCGTCGTGCGATAGATGGAAGGAGGATGTCTCAGGGTGCCATCTCTCTGCAAATCTCATCATCATCCTGTTATGGATCAAGTTGTAACCGATATCACAAAGGTCCTTCAAACCAGAGGCGGTAAGGACATCCTGGAACCAAGCCTCATGTGGTTGCTCTAAAGATAATATCTTCCGCCCATGGTTGTAGAATTTCTGCCGCTCACGGTTGTAGAACTTCTGCCGCTCACGAGTCTGAAAAATCTCCATAAATAAGAAATAATGTTAGTAATAAAAAATGATACAAATCATAAATATCCAATGAAAAAAAGAAACAAACTGAGTAATGTTACCTCTTCATCTCAAACATGTATGGCAATATGGTTAGCATATCCTGTTAGTAAGGACATATCTGAGGGACCCCCTGGGAAACCCTCAGGCTCATCATCATCGCCGTGATCACCATCCTCTGCTGGTGGGTCATCAGCCTCTAGAGGTTACACCGGAGCAACATCATCGGCAGGATGAGGAACATGAGTATCCCGACGAGGCCTGTGAGATGACGAGGCATGTGATGAGCCCTCAACTAAATCCCGACGCCTCCGGGATGAAGAAGTCGATGATGGGGGTGGGATATGAGGTCGAGGGAGTGTCTTGGACATGTGATGAAGAAGGTTGTCCAGTAGGTTGTGCCTCGACTGTATCGGCCTGGGTAACGGTGGCCTAGCTCCGCTCACATCTCACAGATGCATGATGTGAAACCCATCCAAGACGCAGTCTGTCGTCTTTGTCTGCCATAATGTCTGCAACGGAATAACTAAGAAAAAACAATTAGATACAAATAAATCAAAAAAAAAAAAAGAAAAAAATTAACATTTTCTACCTCCGGATATATAAACCCGGAACAAGTTTCATAGATGTATCTATGAAAGCACCCAGAATTTACAACATTTGGGTTGTTCTGGAGCTGCATCTACGGAAGCGTCCTAAAGTTAAATTGTTCCGTAGATGTAGATCTGGAACAACCTGCAACTTAAAGGTTACGACAATGGTGTTCCCTACCCATGCAAATGTGATTTTTGAAGCTCTGATCGCCTGTTTCAGCCAACAAACAATACCTACATTGCCTCTAAACTATGTTTCTAAAACTATTTAAGGATTTCTACCCTTAAAACTATATCTAACTCGTTTACGGGAAATACTCAAAAATAACTCGAAAACTTGAAAACTTGCTGATTATATCAAGATTTGAATGTGTTGGTGTTTCTTGATCATTGTAATGAACGCTTCTTATCGAATTTGATTGAAAATAATGAAGTTTGATGGAAAAATATTTTTTGAGTTGAGAGAGTTTGAGAATGAGAAGAAAAATGAAGAATGAGGGAAGAGAAGAGACTCTGCCGCGTAGGTATTCTAATTTATTCCGAAGCTGTATAAATGGAAACCTTTCGTAGATGTAGCTTTGGGAAAAACCAACGTTGAGTAAAAAAAAGTGCGTCCGGAGATACATCTCTGAAAGCATGGGGCATTTTTGGAAATGCACATGGTGCGTAAGAACCTCAAGGGGTGGGGTAAGAAATTATCTTTTAAAAATATGTCGATGTTATACTTCATTTACTTGGATAGGATTCATGAGTATAACTAGAGAAAAACTTATTTGGTTTATCTTTGTTAAAAATCTAGTTGAAGGTAGTTAGTGGAAGACTCGTCATATAATAACAAACAATTATCTATTTATAGTAAATTTTCACCCTTACTGATATCAATTACATGATACTTTTGTTTCACTCATACTGATATTTCATCTGAATCATTTTTATGCATGGATCCACCTTCATTTTCCACGTCTCTTCGGCTAGAAATATATTAATGACTACTCTAAATAATTGTCACGTGCATATTCGATTATTGAGTTATGATGTAACGGTGTGGAACCGTAATTAACCCTAATTGATATTTAAAGGTGTGTCGTTTGGTTTATGAAACAGTGTGCTTGTGTGGCCTAAGATACTTGACTTGAATATTTAGATACTCACCAAATGTGATAATGTGATGACTTAGGACACTTATGTAACCTAATGTTAAGTCGTTTATGTATGAGTATACTTACCTAAAAGATGATATATGGTAAGTGAGGATCTTATGGTGAATAAGAAATCCAAAGGTAAGGACATACAGAAGCAATAAACTTCCTTACGATAAACTCAAAGTATCTTTAGAGATTTTATGATATCTTTAGTGAAGTTTTGATCCTTACGTGTTGGTTAATTGGTAGTTTGAAACATATGAGAGTAAGCTCTGATAAAGGATGTAGGGAATGTATAAATTATTATATGAGGGTTATAATCCTAAAGGTGAGTTACCACTTTTTCTCAATCGGTTCTTAAGGGAAATAAGACCCAAAAACATAAGCATAAGCATGTCAATTCCTGAGGGCGATAAAACCCAAAATCGGAAATGATGCATGTCAATTGCTGAGGGACTTAAAGCGAAGGCGATACATGTCAATTCCTTAGGGAACTAAAACCCAAAAGTGGAAGTTGCGAGAATCGTCTTTTAGTTATTTCTCTAAGGGCTTTGTTCCAAAAGTGAGACCTACCATCGAGCATCAGATTTGTTGTTTGTAGATTCGATTCAACCTGGCCAAAATCCATAGCTCATTAGTTATCCTGCCAAGGTCAAGTAAGAAGTTGAATTCCGCTTGAAAATGAGGCCATGTGCTTCAAACTCCAGTTTTTAACAAAACCATGCGGGTAAATAATCATTAGACTAAGTATTCGTGTAGAGCCGAGTGGACCCATAAGATAGGGGAATCCACTAGATTAATATCTCACTCTATGTTGTTATTTATCTTTTCAGAAAGCTCAAATAATGACAATGGGAAAGGTAAAGCAATTTGAAGGCTTTGGTTCAGATGATGTTTCTTTTATGTATTCGTTGCGATGTTATTAGT